TTATTTGTAATAATAATTTAGTAATTTATAACGATAATGAATATTTTATATATTAATTAATATATTAAAGGTAGATGACGTATGTATTTAACCGCATCTTTTTGTATTTTAGTTAGGTATAATAAACATATCCTTATGTAACTAATAAATGTCATGCGGCTTAGTCTCATTATATAATTTGGTGGAAAATTTTCAACTTTTAATTTTGTCATACTTCTAATTTTGCCGATTCAATAATGATTACGTATGTCTTTATTCTTTATATGCTATTCTAATTGATTTTTTTGAAACAATAAATTAAAAACAAAGATGGAAAATAATGGGACTATACAATAATGATTATAAAAAGTGATCAATAATTAGAATGAAGGATTATGATGAAATGCTAGTATATATATATATATAAAGATGAGATTAAAAGAAATTATTCTTGATTTGATCGTGAATTTTCTTCAGTGACTTCTTGTAGAACATCTATATTATCATGCAAATTAATTAATTAACGAACGACAGGGAATTTTAACCAAGTGAAAATAAATACTTTACCATGCCAAATATTACTCTGTAAAGTGTCCAAGACCAAATCAGCTGTTTGGTCGTCCATTTCATTGTTTGCATCAATAGATCTCCATCCACTCGATAACAATTCTCCTCCAACGCTGCCAAATTAAAAAATAACGGAAGATTAATTAAAATCAAATAAACAGCCAAAATTGATAACAAACTTACTCCTCTTCATACGTTCTACCAGCATAATCTGCTGAATTACGTTCGCTATGATTATAATAGTCCAAGAGATCAGTGCTGGCCGAGTTGGGTGTTCTTGGTGAAGGCGGAGAAATAGGAGAATTTCGCTGATTTGCACCATGTTGCGTTGACAGGCTTAAATATGCTGTGTTTGTTGCGATTCTTAATGGTTGTGGATCGTTGGAATCATCATTAACAGTAATACGAGGAACTTGAAAAAAAATAATATATTAGCAATAATATAAAATAAGAATGTACAAATTCGTAAATATCATTTGTTTACCAGTTCCAGCACTAGCACGTGCAGCAGCGTTCAACATTTCTTTTTGTGCCTTGAATTTGCGACGCCAATAAATAGTTCTCAGCAATGACTTGACACGATCTTTGTTTACATGGTCGATGACTTTTTCCATCTTCTCTTTACGTTTTAAAAGCTCATCGATTCTAAAATTAACGGTTAAGTGAAAATATGAATTTAAACATATCTTTTTCTCGTAAAGGCAAAAAAAAAACAATTTAGTGTTGAAAACTTACCTTAAGGACTTGTCATCATCTATTAGCTTATAATGCGCAAGCATTATCAACATATTTGCAAATGAAATTCCTTTTTCATTGCCCTTGCTGTCTTTTTCCACAGTTATGAGTGCTTCCTGTATCGTTATATAAGTTAAAAAAGAAGCAATTTTTCGATTAAAAATCAAACGAATACGAAAATAATCCCACCTGATACAAACAATTATAAATACGACGACGCTCATGTATTTTAGGTAAATTAAGTTCTGACAAATTTTTTTGAAGTCGAATAATATCAATTTTGTGACTCGACGTGTCTCCATCCCAATATCGTTTGCTGCTACTAATCATTCCCGCGTCTGATCCATCTTCATTTTTCAACGAATTCTTCAAAAGATTCGATATTTGGAAATTATCTTCATAGATTTTAACTTCGAAAGAACCAGATAATTTCTGGTAAAATCGATAATATTTATAAATACATGTAATTATAATGCTGCAATAATTAAATCAAAAAAATCAGTTACCCCAAAAAATTTTGCAAAGTCTTTACTTTTGATGTACCCCGTTCTATCGACATCAATGGCAGCCCAAGCTTTCTTAAACGTGAAAAATTAAATAGTAGTCAAGGAAGAATATGCTAATCCATTATAATAATAATAGATCAATTCACACGAATGGTGAACTATAATTTCACATATAAAAAGGATATTTTCTCATTTCCTCACGATTCACCAAAGAGAACTCAGCAGCAATTTGATAACAATATGAGAAATTGTCAATTACCACCACGATAAACATAGAGGAGAATATGTACATTGATAGCACGTTCCATGTTATGAATAGAACATATGCCCAGGCTCGACTGCCACAGTCGGAATTAAGAAAATCATGTGAATCGACGCAATATGGTGCTTCTACCGTATAGTCATGCATGATCGTGTTCCATCCTTCACTATTTTAATAAGGATGATAATATGAAAGTAATATTACCGTTAATAAAATGATGACAAATCGAGGATATGTGAATAGTAATAAAGTAATTACCCCGTCGACATTCTTATTAACGTAAGAAATGCATTTGAAAAATCGCGGAAGTTTACATAACGCGTGGCTTGAATGCCGTATTTTGTCAATCCAAAGATCTCCATAAACATAATCGAGTACACACAGAAGACCACGAACCATACAGCGAACAAATCAAAAATGGATGGTAAACTCGCACTAAAAGAAGTTTTAAACATCAAATATCAATTTTGCAATGAAACTATATTTAGGCAAAACATCCATGAAAATAAACAACATACGCCATCGTCTTAAAGAGTTGATTAAGACTATCACTTTTTTGTATTAATTTAAGCGCAATAGCCACCAAAAATAATTTCTGTAGTTGAATCACTGCACCTTGGGCAACATTAATATTCATCGGGATAGTGGTGAGCGCAGCACCCGAAACCACAAATACATCAAATAAATTCCATCTATTTTCGCGAAAGACCTTCCATCCGAATCCTGCAAGCTTGATGCAGATATCAATAATGTAGATGGCAATAAATACCAAAAATGCGTCCTCTAACAAAGGGAAAAGCGCAAGATAAATTATTTTGTAAGAGTAGATCATAAAAATATATCATCAAATATAGTAGTATTATAATAAATATACCTCTAACAGTATCTAACCATGGCGGTGAATTCTGGAATTCGGTCATAAGATTCAAGATATGCAATATGTAAATTACCGTCATAAATCTCGATAGCCAACCCTTCTTTTCAATAGCACGATCATAACAAAAAGCTCTAATACGATTCTGAGGTCTAACTTTAGGGCGTTTGGATGGTCGAGTTTGCTTTAGTAATTTTTTGAGATCAATCCAACGTTTTTGATCCGCGGTCAAAAAAGCAGATCCTGATCGCCTTTTATAATTTTCGATAATAACATTAATGAAAAGAGTCAACACGAAAACTGCGCCTGCCATATTAAAGATCATAAAAAAAAGAGCATTCCATTTTGAAGCGTCTTGTGACGGAGATTTGTCGCGACCAGTGATTGCCATGACAGAAGTCATCACGTCGATCCATCCTTCTCCTGATAGAATCTCAAAAAGTATAAGCAGAGCGGATCTGAAATTGTCAAAACTCCATACGTAAGGATTATTCCAGACTCTCGGAGCCAAAACCGTCCAAAGATATGGTGAGCTCTGAAATTCGCCAGTGCAATTATCTTTGCTTACAATTGAAGGAGCGGAGTCATTACACGAATACAATAACCCCGAAAAAACATTTTGTCCGTAAATGGCAAACGGAATAATTAAACTAATAGACAATAGAGAAGCATCGAGAATTCGAGGAAAACCGGCAATCAGTATAGCATAAAATGTCTCCTTAATTGAACTTGACAAATTAATTAATCTCAATGCACGCAAGGCTTTAAAAACGCGCACAGATCGTGATATATTGGTAGCATGGAAAAGTGTCGCAAAGAGATTGATATAAAAAGAACCCAAGACAAAAAAATCTAACACATTCCAAATATTTAGAAGATATGCATTTGGCGTGAGAAGGAAACCGTCCGCGATAATTTTGACCAAAAATTCGATGGTGAATATGCCTGTGAAAACCGTATCAACAATCCAGAACCAAGTGATGCGTTTTTCTGTTCCAGTTTGTTCAAAATATCTTTTTTGATAAGCCGGATTAGTGATTGCCGCAACAATGAAGCTTGCCACGATACAAAGGAAAATTATAATGCTAAATAATAAGCTAAGTGTCGGAGATGGTGCAGTACCAAATAGTCGTTCCCCATAGCTTGGCGGCACAAGTAACTGACAATAATGTCGGATACGATTTCGAGGCGATAGAAACCATAGTGATTCATCATAATTAGGATGTGCCGCTATAAAATCGGCTTTTATGGCTCGACGTTCTTGAAGTTCATCAAGCTCAATTTCCACAACTCGATCATTATTCATATTCATTGTGTCGTTTTTCAAGTCGCTGCCATTTACATAATCATAAAAAATTAAATTTATGTATGACAAAAACATCAAAAACATTAATTTGTTTTTGCATACTTTGTTCCCATAGGTCCTTGAGAATTATCCATTTCTGAGCTACGTCTACGATCGGTAAGAGCGATATATTCCTCATCGTCTTCATCGCCATGTCGTAAAAACTGCTGTAATCGCCTCATAAATCCATTTTCAGTGCGACGCCGATGAAGTTTGGAATTTCTCTATATTGTGTTCAAATATTTCACATATAAAACGGAATTAGAAATATAGAAAGATACGTGATTTGTAAACAGTGACACACTTCTTTATCAGAATCAGCTGAAATTAAAAAATCTGTTAATTATTAAACTATGTTATCATTTCCTACTTATAGAGCACGATTTTTATATCCAACTTATTGGGATCAACAAATAGATTGAGTTCTTTGATTTGCTCTTAAATATGTTTCAACAACAAACATTTACCTTGCTCTCCATATTATAATCATTCAAAAATTCTTTAACGCGACTCTTTTGAGTTGATAGAATCAAATTAGAAGGAATATTTTCAACAGCCAAAGCTTTCGGTTTTGCTTTGAAGAATCTGTAAATATTCCACGTATCTATGATATCTTCTTGTTTCTCTTTTGGATCAGCTTTTTGAATAAATGCTTTCAGTTGATGTTTACGTTTTTCTTCTTCGGCAGTTTCAAAATTTTCTTCTAGGATGGCAATGAACATATTAAGAAGCACAACTAATAATTTACAAGGTGTAAATCTCATTAGCATAAGAAATAATCAACTTGAAAAAGTAAGTGTTAATAGAAATTAAGCATACAATTGGATAAGCTGAACCATGTTAGCAAGAATAACGCGCCTATAATCGAGGAATGCCAAGCACTTTCATATGACATGATATCGTATAAGACAGTGGTCCAATTTTCGCCAGAAAAGACCTGTGAAGGAAATGAATAAAGAGGAAATTAAAATTTTTCAATTAAATTTTACAAACAAGATTCACACCTGGTATAATGCAACAAAACTATTATATATATCACTGAATCGCATTTCTATTTGGTTGCCATTCTCATCAACGCTCGGTATATCACCACGTATTAATTGGACACCCTAAAATAGATATAACCATATTATTCTTTGTAAAACAAAATTATCTTTATATGACGGATCACTACTTACTATGACAGCCGAAATAAAATTGACCAAGAGGATAAAGAAAACTAAATTAGCCAGACCAAAAGCACTACCCAAAACACGCATCTATTAAAAAAATGGTTTAAAATCAAAATTTAAAATTTTGATTGTTGCGGTAAAAGCAAAAATTAAGGATAAATAATCTTACAAGAAGATTTCTCAGACGCGTCCAAGCAATAATGACTCGATATACACGCATAATTTGAAATACAGTCAAATAAGGGTAAGCACTGGAATGCTTAATTTCTGGTATCTGAATCAGACAAGTGATAACCACCAAAACAAAATCCGTCACATTTTTTTTGTAGTGAAAGAAATGGCGATAGTCGGGTAACGAGGCACCAAAACGCAAAATGATTTCAATGGCAAATAGTATTGTGAATACTAATTCAGCACGACCTAAATATATATTTGTATCAATGAGAAGCGAATTTAAGAGAACCTTTGTCACAATCTAAAAACCACATACTCAAAACAGCCAAGCCAGCATCATCCAAGGTAGAAGTTCGAAACGCCATAATAATCAGATCAATAATTATCGCGATTATCCACAAATATTTTGTCTCGTTCATAAAACGCGTTAACCAATTAATTTTGACCATTTTGTTTCCTTCTTGAAGGGTCCAACCTTCCGCGTCGTCCAATAATACAGGTGTGGTTCTATTTCACCATTGATTACGAAAATGTTGTATTCACTCGAATTATTACTTCTAAGGAATTAATATGGAGAATGTCGGCTTACTTTGATAATGTAAAGGCCGAATGTGAACTATCCTCTCGAATCTTGGCAAACATTTCAGTGATCACGGCGACGAAAAGATTAATTAACCAGAAATTCAGAACCAAGGCCTCGACAATAAAGAATATACAAGCTTGGTAGAAATCCGAATCCATTGTGTCATACATTAAATCGGACCAACTTTGCACTGGATGAAAAGAACGTCTATCATTTATTAAAAGATCAAAGAGTTATGAAACCATCAAGATTCAAATAATTACCGGAAGAGATAACAAAGACAAGAATCATGGAAGAGAATACATTATCAAAATTGACAGTTCCATTATGCGGATTTCCAGATTCCTGTTAACATAAAGAATGAGGCACGAATAATAAAGCCACAGAATTTAGTAAAAGATTTACCAGACAAATTTGTCCTCGAGGGCATAAATATCCTTTAGCGCGTGTACCAACGGGATTGAGATCAGCATCTAAATATGGCACGGCATCTAACGTTTTATTGTCGATATATCCACCACAAAAAGAAGACAAACTATAATTGTTTGTCGGTTGATTAGGATCTATCCACATGCAGTGTCGCATAAAAGACCCTTTGAAAGATTGAACAGCAATAATACTAAATAAATTAAAGAAAAAGAGGACAAAAAACGCGACATTAACAAGTAATGGTAAGCTCTTCTTCAACGATTGTAATATTGTCGAACTTCCACTTGTCAATGATAATAATCTCAAGCTTCGAAAAGCGCCCAAAGCCTTAAATAGATAAAAATGCTGTACACCAGAGAAACTCAATCCGAAATCAATCCAAAAACTGACAACAGCCAATAGATCAATTCGATTGAAAGTGTGCCGAAGAAAGGCGCTTGCGGTCATTGAACGTTGAAAATTGGATTGTGTATTTTGGGTGACATTCCGTTTTCGGTTTAGATCATGTACCGACGTGTCTGGTGCAGTTGACAGTGATTGTTTTGACTTAACAACATGTGACAAGAGATAAGAAGGCAGCTCTTGAACACCTTTGAATGGATTATTTATTTCATGCGTAGCTTCTAATGAATTCTTGGATTTTGGATTTATAATGAAGCCAGATACTATAATTCGAGCTGTGATTTCAAATCTAGTGAATAGATTATTTAATTGAATTTATTGAAATATTATAAACATTTCATTGTTGCTCGATACAGAAAAAATAGAGCTTACGTATATATTACAAAAATGACCAATAAGCCATAATCAGTCCATGAAGTTCCCCATCCAGTTTCTCTACCGCCGTAATCCACTGGTACCCATGCTTGAGCGACCAAAAGAATGACGTTAAGAACAATTAAGAGCAAAATGATTGATTCAGCCCAACTATTTAATTGTAAAAGGGTTATTATCGGCTTGAATAAATTCAGAAATCACACTACATAAGCATACATACGGATGATTTAAAATCCGGTACAGCATTACTCTTAATGGATTTGTTGGTCCAAATATATATAAAGATCGTCCAACTAATGGAGACTCGACCCGTGGAACAATTATCACGCTTTGTTTTCCTTCAAAAGTTTCTTTAGACCTACGAGCAGCCAGATTATGGTTCCATAAAAGTTCACTACTCCAAGTTGATGAATTATGTTCATTACTCTTATTGGACGATCTTATTGGATGTTTAACAGAGTCTAGGTCTATGTCACTCCTTTGTAATACTTCTTGTGGAATATTATGTAAATTGACGACACGCGAAGAAGCACGTGCAAGCATCTGACTCATTCTTCCGAGACTTCGTGTGTGTCTAAGTGAGCCTATCCGATCATCTATATATTCGGGATTATTACGAGGTTCTATTAAAGATACAGCTTTTTCTTTCGGTCGTTCTGAACTAATAGCAGTCAACTGAGCAGTATCACTATCATCGATATTCTCATAATCATCAACGTCATTTTCCGTGTAAGGATTAAATTCTGACTCTGTAGCAAAACTTTCACGATGCATACTCGACATTTCAACAGCATCATTTCCTGACATGATGGTTCTTCTTCTGTTAAGAAAAGACTGCATTTTTTTAGGTTCATTTTCAGTCATAGTTCCGCGATCTAGCTCTTCTATCCAAGGCGAATTTGAAGTAGGTTGTTCCCTAGAAGCGGGGTGTGTTACTGTGTGACTACGATGCACTATTCTAGAACGCTCAGGCGTGACGTCATTTCTCGAAGAAGAGCGCGCTCGCCTTCTTATATGTTCATCGAACTCTGTTGATACAGTAGGTGAGAGTCTAGGGGAACGATTGCTAGATCCTGTTGTACTTGCTATATTAATATTCTCTGAAGCGCTAGAATTATTTGTTTCCTGGATAATTAAGGGATTCTCTGAAATTTGCTCTTTGTTTTCCATAAGTGCCTATTACACACCTATATTAACGGCAGTAATAAGCTTTGCGTAAATTCTTGAATTTCTCCAATATTTTGGTTTCTCTTGCTCGGGTTTCTGGCCACAAATTAGTTTTTAATTTCATGTGGTAACACTGCATATCGCTATTGAATATCACTTTTTCATTGAACCATAGAACACATCATTGCAATTGCATTATTGATATCAATGGCATTATTGATTGGATGCCAGTTGGGGCACAAGAAATTGCAGCCACTAATAAAACAATGTCGGAAGACAGTTTTTTACATATCTAACCCAATCCTAACCCCAACGATAAGATGACCATTGATTAGAACAGAATTTTTTTTCCAATCAACGATGGGATGTAAATGCTTTTCATGGTTAGTTCATTAACTACGCTAATTAAATATAGACACAAGTAACAAATAAGTATCATCCCAAACGATGTCAAATACAGGATTTTTATTTAATCAAAATGATAAGATAATAATAATAATAACAATATGATAATAATATAAAGATAAAAACGAGCAAGTTCAGACAATGATCGGTCATAGAGGAGAGACAATCATCTATATAATAACGGAGAGACGGTGATCTATCTATAATAATAGGGGAGAGAGACAATGATCTTCGGTGTGAATCAACACGCCAGAAAGCACCACCCCGATAATTTAGTATATAGATTTTTGTACTTGAATAAATATGAAATTAAGAATAATGATCAAAGGGCATTATAATTAATTTCATATAAACACAAACAAAAAAAAAATTTATATTAGATTATCCTCCGGTGGTAAGCTCTGTGGGGAGTTGCTCCACACAGAAGAGCAAGGTAACTCTGTCTACTATAGTGATAACGGCTATATGGTAGAATAGTAGAGAGATAATTAAAGTAGTTGAGTTTAAAAAACGGGGTTGATGGAATAGGGAGGAATGATCGGATTTCTAAAAATATGTCGATATCAAAATCAGATATAATGAATGATGTTGAGGGGAAAAAAAATCCGAAGTTGCGTAATGAAATAATAAAATTAAAAAATAATAAATCGTGTGATGATCAAATAATTCATTCTCCAAATATCCGAAACATTGAATACTAGATATGAAACACTGATATTGAATAATAATAAGTGATAGAAAGATCAAGAATAAAATTGATCGAATCAAATACGATCCAAATCATTAATTATATGTGCGAATCGGTCCGGGAAGATCCAAAGTATTAATACGAGAACCGGAAGGTGCCATAGTTTGACAAACTTCGGGTGCAACACCGGTATTGATAAAACGAAGTGCATTCATTGCTGCCTCTTTTTTCGCGTCTTTTTTGTTTCTCGCTCTCCCATGACCCATTATTTTCCCGCTGACATTTACACCAACAGTGAAAGTAGCATTATGATCATTGCAAGATTCACCGATTTCTTTGTACTCTGGTATGCCCAATCCTTTTCGTTGCGACCACGTCTGAAGTTTATTAATGGGATCCTGTAAATCGGCCGAAAGATCCAAATCCGTTGGTAGATACATATTATAATTAGGAGCGTTATTATTGCTGTTACCATTACTGGTGTTGGAATTAGAGTGGTTAGCGAGTTCATTGGTAGAAGATTGGTCTTTTCTGGAGGATTGTGGACCATTATTTGGAGGCACTGGTGATGTCGAGCGAGTCAATTCCTCGATGGCGGGCAAAAGAATTGGTTCCATAAAGGCTTGAATAGTGGACATTTTAGAGCCAGAATCTAGAAACACCGCTCCAATATACGCTTCGAAAGCATCCTCGAGCACTTTTTCACTTTCACGTCCGCCGTCCCTCAATGCACCAACACCAAGCAACAATTCTTTGTCGAGGTCAAGTTGAAGCGCGAAACGAGCCAACGATTTTTTGCAAACTAAATTTGCACGCATTAAGGTGAGCTGACCTTCTTTAAAAAGTGGAAAACGGGTGTATAAGAAATTTGCAACGACAAAAGACACAATCGAGTCGCCCAAGAATTCCAGTCGTTCGTTGTGTGGACCAGTATTTGGATTTTCGTAGTGGTATGATTTATGTGTTAGCGCTTCTATGCGCAAATTATCGTTACGGAATTGATGCTTGCGAATATTAGCCATCTCTCTGTGTGGTTTGAATTTTTTAGTATGATATTTTTAAGATAAGAAAAAAAAAAGATGATATCAATTGATTGAAAATTTTTGTTCGTTAAATATGATTTTTGTGCGCTGTTTGTTACATTTAACCAGTCCATTGAGAAAGGAGTCTTCTCCGATTACGAAATGTTTATGACATATAGAGACAATGACAGACGTACATTGTTTATTCGGGGTCGGAAAAATAACAAAAGACTGTATACGTATAATAACGATAATAATAACGATAATAATAACGATAATAATAATAATATAATAATAATATACTCGCAGAGTATGCATATCTGTTAATACAAAATTGGTGATGATTGTCTGTGTCTAAACTTATCCAGCATGTTCTACTGGAACACTAACAAGTTTACCATCAACAATGGTAGACTTAAGTTGTTCTGGGATTGGTTTTTCTGCGTAGTCACCATCTTCACCAACACCTGGAACATTTACATTTATCGAGGAACTTTTCGCAGTCAGAATCTCAGTCTGCAAACATTCGGACGAGAGAAAGATTTGTCCGGCGTCGGTTTTATCAATCATGATTGTGGGTGTATGGCCTAGAATTTGAAGTTGAAATGATTTCGAGTTTACAATGTCCACTGTTGATACTGCGGAATCTAATAATAGACCCGTTTTCTGACAAGTATCTAATTTTATCATTATTAATTATTAATTGGAAAGATTAGGGGATGGTATTACATTACTACGTCATTACTGCGCATAAAAGAAACATGCATCCCTGCACTTCTAACTCACCTAGAATAATTGCGTTCACTTTTCCTTTAACTTGTATTGTGCAGTTTTTACATCCGTATATGTAGACGGTTTGATTGATTGCAGTCTCAGAAATCACCAAATTTGAATTATTTTCATGATGTTCCTGTAGATTCATAGTAGATTAATCAGCAATAAAACCAAAAAAAAAATAAGATATAAATGTGGTAAGAACATACTATAACCCATTTGGTGCCATTGAGCTCTGTTTTGGGTGGTTTCTTAAGAGACAATGAAGCTGGTTTTGGTGGTGCTGCAGGACCTTTCTTTTGTTGACCCTTAACTATTATCGGTTGAAGTGTGAAAGATGAATTTTTTTGTATATTTTAATAAATTAAACGTGAATATAATCAATTAATTACCGCCAACTTCCGAAACAATATTTCCAGCCCTCAAGCTTGGATTCTTATGTGTCATTTGACTTTTATCCACTTTCTTCAAAGTATTTACAATACTCTCTCCTTGATTAAGTTCCGCAAATACTGAACTCATATCAGCCTTTACTTCTTTAGAACTATCGAGTTCTGCGGGATCAAACAGTGGTGGTGGAGGTGGCGGTGGGGGAATTGAGGGACCACCTGCAGCTGCTGGTGGTGGTTGTGATGATGCTGCCGCTGCTGCTGCTGTTGTTGAAGCTATAGTGCTTGAGATATTAGTAGGTTGAGCAGCGGGTTTTCTTCCAACAAAATTTTT